GCCTCGACATATTGTAAGTTTGCCTGCAAACACTTGAAGTTAACAAAGTATTCCAGCAAACTTAGAACTCCTCAACTCTAGGGGGAAGAAAATGGAGGACCCTTAGGGACACCTCCACCCACATCTCCCAGGATCGAGGGATGAGTTGGCTCAGATGATGAAGTGGAACACCTGCCGGTCTTTTTGATCCCTTTGACAAGACTATTTTCGTCTTCGCTTTCGGAGAGCCAAATCCACCTTTTTCTCCTGGTTTTCTCGACGAGGCGTTGACCGTTTTCGTCTCCTAAGAAGCAACTGGTTTTCCAGCTTTGGAATGAGTATGAGCCGCTGGTTTACCCCTATTTTGGGATGGAGGTTTGACTGCTTGACTCAATATAGGTGGATTGCTACTCGGTCCCGCTTTGTTAACTCTAACATGTACATTAAAGTGACTCGGTTGAGTAGTTGCCTGCTAGGAGGGTGCCTGGATTTTAGGGCGGATTAAGACCTGTCCAAAACCAAAATATGGTCTGAAACCCATCCTCGCCAGCACGGCCATAGACCCATCGTCAACATCAAAGATCCATGTTTGACCAGGTCCTGACTTTTCCTTGTGGAGAATAGACCACTCTAAGATTAACAGACCATGGTTCATTTTTCTCAATCTAGTGAGGCCTGGTCGGAGGTCAGTATGTGACTGCCTTCGTCAGGTAAGTAAGCAGCATAGATATGTGGCTTCGGAAGTTGGTCCCCTGTGACGCATTTCAGAAAAGCGTCCTCCCACGATTGCAAGGTATCAACTACACCCACAAGCCAGTCGGCGCTGTCCTGATCCTCACAGACGACCTGTAACCCAGGCCAAAAAGTGCAGCTCTGCAATTGTACCTGCGGCACATCATCTGGAATAACCCCTACAGCCGACAAAATAGCCTTCTGAGAAGATTCCAGCTGATTGGCCATTAATGAGGTAGTCGGATAATCAAGATACAAGATTCACACCTTGATACCCGCGACAACTTTTCCATATGAGGATTTTTGCTCGTCAGTTATACCTCACGATACCGTAGATTTAGCCGTGCAGGGCTTTTTGCCTCTGGTTTCAGTAAATCTTCATTTGAGTGCAAAATTCTGCTGATCTGCTCAGGAGAGGTTGGTTCCTCCACCGGAGACAGACTTTGCGGACGCCGCTCAAGAATTTGGTGTGAAGCGGTTTTATGAGGTATCCTGCTCTTAAGGAGGCAACTCACTCGTTTCCTGGCTGCAACACCAATCCTTTTTTTTAGGTTTCGGTCCTGGATCAGGAGTTGAGAAGCTATCGCTCCTGATCTAAAGTAACAGGGAGGTCAGTTGGAGTCGAAAACTCGACATCCATCCTCTCTGTACACTCAACGTCAGAAATGTTTTTAATATTTACTCTATCCATAAAGGTCCCACGAGTAGCTAGGGAAGGAAGGTCAATCACGGCAGAGTCCCGCACAACCACCAAACAAAAATGATTGGTTGCGAATTTCCTTGATTTTGGATGGTAAGTCGTCATTCTTAATGTTTCAAAGCAGTCTCATATTTTGTGTTTCAATAGTTTTCATTTTGGGCTAGAGTGTCATGGAAACAAATGAACTATTTATACCTCAAATGTCAGTTTGAAAGTAAATGCGTCAAAACAGTAACAAAATAACCATTAAACGCCTTAATTTACGGGAAAAAAATGAAATGATAAGATTTTTTGGTGATAATACTCGAAGTAGCAGACAAGTTGTTGAAGAATTCAACAGAAGACATCCTCAAAGAAATCGTATTCGACATGAAACGGCAGCCTCCTTGAACAAACTATTTACTCAATCCGGAAATGTAATGAAGATTCGTCCAGCTATTGACAGTCGAAAGTACCATGATGATGATATTGTCTTCGATTCGTGCCAATCCTCAAATCAGTTTGCGTGAAAGGTGTGAGCAATTAAATTTGAGTGAGAAAAAATCAGAAGATGTCTCGTTTGTCATAAAATTGAACCTTCCAAACCGAAGTTCTTGCACACATTGAATGAAGGTGACGAATTTAAATGATTAGATTACTGCTATTGGGCCTAAGAATTTTTTTAATGATAGAAATTTCCTAAGAAAAAAATTGTTCACTGATGTTCACGTTCATTACCAATGGAATAGTATCTGCTCAAAATTGCATACTAGTTCTACTGAAAATCCCCACTGGGTTATAAACTGTAAGGACTATTACTCTCAAAAAGTTAATGTATGGCGTGGTATTTTACGCGACAAAATTATTGGACCGTTTTTCTTCAGTAATACCGTTAACGCTGAACGATTATTGATTTTTTTTATAATGAATTATGGGAAATTATTGAAAATCTACACCTCAATGTGCGACAAGAGATGTATTTCCAGCTAGATGGAGCTTCCGTTCATAATTCTTGGATAGTTCGAGAGTGCTGAAACGAACATTTTCCATTACGTTGGATTGATAGAAATAGTCCATATGAACAAACGCCCTCGTGAAAACTTCAATGGATTTTCACTTCTGAGGAACTGTCAAGGATTTACAAATCTAGGCCACGAAATCGACAAGAACTTAGTGAGAGAATACGACAAGCCTGCCGTGAAATAAGTATCACATCCGTGGATGTGAATGCGGATTTTTGAAGGCTCTCACCCGCGGATGCGGCTGTTTAAGATCTTATATAAATAAAGTTCATGAATAAAGGATTGAAACACTGATACAGTAATTATCATCATTTTTATTGCCAACAATAATTAGTATCAAGTATAATGCTTCTATTTGTTTAAACTTCACTTACTAATTTCCATAATAGTAAGTGAAGTTGAAAATAGGAGCATTACACTTAATAAAGAGTAATATTGCCGCATTTTCTGATTCAGGGCGGTTACGCAGAGGTTCGTAAATCAAATCTGTAACACTGAATAATTGTTCGCTAGGAACACTGTCTGGTGGAGCGGTTAAAAATCTTCGTGCTACCGGTGATAATATTTTAAATTCATCTCGATGAACACTTCACCACTTAAGATAATTTTTATCCACATTTACTCTTGTTTAGTGCAATACGAAAATAATTCCTTTTTGAGGACAGCTTCAGTGCTACCATTTTCTGGTATTTCTTAACTCTCATCTTCACTTGACGAATTCAACATCATAGCAAGATTGTTTTTTTAAGCATGACTTTCTAACGCTACTTTATGTCCCTGGTCCCAGTTGTTTCATATCTTTTTCCGTGAAATCTTCATGTTCATTCTTCGGAATTGGCATTAATAGAACCAAAAAGAAGTCATTATCAATATTTTTATCATCAAAATATCGTTTTTAATCTTTTCCTTAGTCACCGCTGTAAAAAAATGGTCCTTATAGCGAGGATCTAGGTTGGTGGCGATAATATATAAATTGTTGTCTGCCAAGCTCGAAAACTTTTTGAAAAGGTCGAATCGGATCAAACTCTTGTGATCTTTGTGTCGGTGGTGACATTATTAACTAACTTGTCAGATAATCTATTAATAACGGGAACCACGCTCGAAAAATAAAAAATATTGTTATAATATAATAAACTTAACCTGCTTTACTTCACCTTCCTGTGTAATATAATGGCATTTACCTGGCGATTTTAATTTAATAAGCTGAGATAAGATTAATATAAAGATTTCCCAATAAACAATTATTGACACACAATGATCACTATATCACAATAACTCTCAAAATATATATCTATACAATAAGTTATCGATAGCGCAAACAAACACATTATGATTTATTATTTATTTACAAGAATCAAATGATGCACAACCACAAACGCTTCAGATCTTGTTACCACTTTGTTCGCTCATTGTCACGTACGAACGGTACTCATCATTCACTGGCCCCATCCACCGACATAGATTAAGGTTATGTCGATGGTCCCATCCCTACTTAGAACTGACTTCCAATATCAGTGTTTATTTCTATTCCTGTTGAATTCGCTGCATTAATTGTCATTTAATTTCGATAGATGTCTCTGTGGCTTTTTAGTAACTGTAAATCAAAATTTGAATTTTTTCATAATGAATACTAGGTTTTTCATTGTTACATTCGATAAAAAATTTTAACTTTTGAATGAGTCGCATATAAAGTGCAGCATAAATGCTTACCAATCGTCCGTTTTAATATGTTGTAATAAATGACCGTCGGGTCTGAATTGGCGATCGATCCCTTTATACTACTAATGATATATAATAATTATCTCAATTATACTCGCACCAGAAACATACACCCCCCTATATCTGGGATCGTTCAGCCGAAGGTTTTTTTTCAATTTAGTTTGGTAGCGCGAGAGTTGCCTCCACCAGATCAGAAAAAGTTTGAAATTCGTCCTGATCACACGGATTGAGAATTAGTAGGCGACTTGGTCAATAGTTAAATTTTTTACCTTCTAATCTTCGTAGAGCAATGGCTTGGTTAGGCCACCAATTATATTCTCAGAGACTGGATTCGGCCACGGCTTAAATGCGTGGTCTTTTAGGGGTTCAAGGGAATAAAATAATATTAGCAGTTTTCACTTTATTTATTTATTCATTTATTAATGAATAAAGTCGGTGGAATGATCGGATTAAGAATAAGAATAACAGCTCTTCTGAACATGACTACAGTCCTGGAAAGTTTAAATATTAGCATAATAAAAATATATGTAAATTCATAGAGTATAACCATGTCAAATTATAATAGTCTTATTCCAAATTTATTAGTTTCAATCCTAATATCACAACCTTTGTATGTATTCTTTGTCCGGTGAATACCTACCAGCAAGTGAAGATAGAACACAGATACTTAGGCTAAAAGTTTCAATTACCCAAAAAAACCTCAATTCACGTGGACTTACTGTCTATCAAAAACATATAGACGTAGTTTGCGTTAAGCAAGACACATTACGTCCCCGGACGAAGCGACTGTGGCATAACATTGGTTATGCAATAGGAGGAGACTGGTCTACTGCACCGAAGGGAAGCAAAGACCGCAAAAAAAAGAGAAGAAGAAGAAGAGAAGATTATCAACATCTACTACATACGTACTTACTTTTTATTTTTCCTCTTGGGGTATCCCCCTTTGTATATATTCAAGTTCTGTTTTTATTGTTTCACGTTACCCTGATTCTTATCGAAACAAATTTCTACAGTGATCAGTTTACAATAATTTGAAGTTAGGTTATAAGAATACATGAAATTACAGCTGAATGCAGATTGAAAGTTTAAATACGGAGTCAAACGAATCTGAAATGCTAAACAATGGAGGTAAGAACTTAAATTTGTTTATTTCGTTTCTAGTTCCAAAAATCAATATCTTATCTACTTAAATGATAATTATAAATAAGTTTTTCTTTCTTCACTTTTGAAATAAACACATGGATCAGCAATATATCTTTTAAAACCTTAACTTTTAATGAAATTGTCTATTGTTTTATTCAGCATCTGTCCATATATACTTTCATTCAGTGTACAAACATCCGTTTTCTTTTCTATAAATCAAAATTTAAAATATTCTTCATATTAATGTTAAAAACCTCATCTCCTCATTGGAAAAACGTCTTCTTCCGACTTAACGTCCCTGCTAATGAAAATTTTTTCGTTTTTTGTATCCCACAGTCTGTATTCCTTGGAATTACCATCGTAGCTTAAAAATATATAGTTCATAACTTTGGAAGTGAATTTATTTATTCTTGATTTGTTCACTGCTCAAGCTCTGCATCCAAACACCTGTAAATGAGATTTATCAATGAAGATTATCGTTTTACATTTTTATATTGGACTTTCTTCCTTTTGCAATTGTTGCACAGCGATTCCTAACATAGCATGCTGTTGCTGCAGTGCTTCTGCCCAAAATTTTTCAGGTAAACCGATTCGATCATCATACATCTCGCTGCATCAAACAATGTTTGATTGATCCTCTCTGCCACTTCATTTTATTGTGGAGTCCCTGGAATGGTCAACTGACGTTGAATACCATGTTTGATGTTGAATACCATACATTTGACAGATATTCACCACCATTTCAACTTCGTGAACAGCAGATATTTTTCCCATGTAAATTTTTCGCTCTCTCTTTATATTCTCTAAATTCAATGAAAACTTCATCTTTGCTCTCCATGAACCAATCTCACAATATCACCAATAATCACCTAATGAAGTTGGTGTGATGGGGCCTACTACATTTTAATGTATAAGTTCCAAAGGGGCTTCTTTCTCTATTGAGACTTCTTTCATGTCAAATAATCCGTTAATTTTGATCGATTTTGCAACTAATTCTTCACTTGGAGCAATTATTTTTGAATGATTTCCTCTAAATTTATCTTCAGACCTTTTTCAGTTGCTACACTCGTCGACAATAAATTCATTCTCAGTTCTGGAACATACAAAACATTTTTAAGTTATATAATGTATCCTCCATTTTCCTCGTCCAATTTCAGTTCAAAGTCTTCAAAATCAGTTGATAGTATCGCCTTTTCACTAGCTATTTCAACAACCATGTATTGTTTGGTAAAATTTATGAATTTTTCCAAATTTGACGTCATATGATCTATAGATCCACTGTCTAGTATCCAAGTATCCCAATTTGTTTTATTATTTACCAAATGAGAAAAATGATATTCTTTTTCTTTCCTTCGTATAGCACTGAATGCATATTTTGGAGTTGAAGCTTCTCATTTTTCCAACACATCAGAATATCTGTCTTGTTTTGTTTCTCTTGGTGCAGACAACAAACATTTTTTTCCAATGTGACCTTTCTCCAGACATCTGTAGTATTTCAAATGTTCTTGTGAATAACTGGGTTTTGTTGTATCGGTAGAATCTTCTCTATTTCAGTTCGAGCCTGCTCAGTTAAATGGTTTTCCACATCTACGATTCAATTTTTCCCTTTTACAATTCATCTTGTATCTTATGCGCCGCAAATGCTTCAATTTCATCTTTTTCTTTATGTCCATTCAGGTTACTTTCGATTCGTCTTTCCTCTTCTAGCAGCTTCCACTTCAAATTGCACACATTCAGGTCAACTTCATCAGCTCTCAGATTCCTTGATTAGTGCTCATATTGATCAGGTAAACCTAATACCGTGGATATTGCTTGAACTTTCTCACAAAATTCGAATCCAGCATTTTTACCTTCATGTCTATATAGGTACTGATTGATCGCCTCGTCTGTAGTTTTGGTGGTATTGATATGGATTGGTATGGATTTTCTTCAATGTTTCCCATATGCTTTAGTTTAGTTGTTTTACAATGCATTATGACATCAAGACTGCAATTATTCACCAATAGATAAAGAACAGATTTTGCATTTTGATTTTTCTTCCTGTTTTCTTCAACTCTAATTTCATTTTCGTCAAAACCAGGATCAACAGCTTGCCACAGATTTTTAGCTTCCAGGATTCCTTGCGCCCTCATTGACCGATATCGATAATTCTCTGAATTCAGTTTTTCCAATTTTAAGTCGTACATGCTAAATGTCAATTCACCTCTGTGTCTAAATTGCCTCGTCGAAATTCACAACTGTCGTCGATATTCACAACTGTCGTCGATATACTCTTTCGAATGGTGGAACGGTAGCCTGGTGGGTTGACTGGGGGTGGTTTACTCACTCCACTTAATCAATCAACGGCTATGTGAAGCGGTGGTTCATACGTTCATACCGCAAGGCTCGACGATAGATTGTCACTTCCTATCGTCCAACCCGTGTTAGAAATCACACGTTGAAAGATAAGACATCGTCTTAGCTTGCACAAGTTTCGACCTTTGAGAGTTTTTGATCGTAGGGGAGCTACATCTGATTAACGGAAAAAGATTTTTTCAACATATTACAGTCTTGGGCCCATAACATGTTAACTGTTTGTAGCAATGGTTCAACTATTTTTATATAGTTGAATATGTTTGTAATTGTAAGAGAAAAATGAGTTGCGTAATGACTTTTTATTTATCAAAATTGACAACTACTACATAAAAGAACATCGACATCTAAACACGTTTACAGGGCATACTCATAAGTTAAATGGAACAGTTTAAAACAGCTAACTAAAAATCAACCATTTCTAACACCAATTGCCATAACTTATTAGAACTTAGTGGATTCATGCACCAGACACATGGTGTTTGGTGTTGGTTAAACATATATGTTGAAAGAAATCATTGAGATGAAAGGGGTATATTTTTAGGAGAGAATAATTTTTGGAAAAGAAAAGTCTTGGCTTTCTACTTCTCCATCTTTATTAAAAAAAATGGGAATCTTCCAAAGAAAGGATGAAAGAAATTAATTTCAAAATAAACTCTGTGTAGATCATGCAAAGAAGTAATTTTCACACACAACCTGGAAGAAAAAGCCTTTTCGAGTCAACTAATTTCATATAAACATTGAATTATACAAAAACACCTTTTTCTATTCAGTTTGTACTCAAAACATTCGTTATGGAATGGAATCGGATATTATTGACAGGATTGCCACCCAATATAGTATAGATAGATAGATTTTATTTAAACTGCATTCCAAACAGGTTTACACCCGATTATATGTATACAGTCAATGTCATGGTACATAAAATATATGATTTTACAATACACACAGTAAATAAACACCTAAAATTACGTACAAGAAAAACAGGTATTTATGACACATTTTTTTTCAAAACGACTGTCTTATTTCTAATTCATCACAGCAAAAAAAATCAAGACTGATGACTTACAACTAGATCATTCACTTGCCTAAGGCAGCGATTGAGTGGAGACTGATCGGGTGTCTGCATAGAAAACCGTATTGCGATTTCTTAGAATAGCACTAGGAATATTAATATTGATCACACTGAGGAGTTAAGGTACATTTATTATCTGATTAAATATGTTGAATATAAATAGTACATCATTCAAGCTTCAACGATCCGACAGGGTTGGCATGTCAGAATGTTCTAGTTGAGTCCTATAGAAGATCATAGAGGAAGACTCTTTATTTTTTTTGAAGTAGGTGTACCTAAGAAATTTCTTCTGTATTTTTCTATCATCTCTGAATGAAATGCTGTTTGCGGATTCTAAATTGTTGAAGCGTATTCAAGCTTTGATCTGACAAATGCATTGAATAAAAGAATTTCTAGTTCCCATTTGAAATTCCTGGCGTTTCTTAACACAAAACCAAGCTTTCTGTTTGCATCACGTACAATATATTCTATGTGATTTCTGAAGTTGGAGTTACTATTAAATATGACTCCTAGATCTTTGATTTGAACAAGTTTTTCCAGTTTGGTGTCATTTATTGAGTATTCCGTTGGAGTAATAACATTTTTCCGTGAAAAAAAAAAACTTTGCATTTACCCTCATTCAGCATCAAGTTCTTCGTCTCATAAAAGATAGTGATATATTCTAAGTCTTTCTGAAGGTTTTCACTGTCTCTTTCATCGTTGATGGTTTGGTATATTTTGAGTTCATTTGCATAGAGTAGGAATTTGGAATGTCTTATATAATCACCTATATTGTCAATGAACATTATAAATAAAAGTGGGCCTGGAATTGATCCCTGAGGAACGCCAGAGGTTGGTTTGAATAGTGTCGACCTTTTTCTATTGAAAGCAACAAATTGATCTCTATCTGATAGATATGACTCCACTAGTGTTATCATTAATTAATTCATTGAGAATTTCCTTAATTTGGCAATGAGAACTCCATGGTTCACTTTGTCGAATGTTTTTGCTAGGTCTGTGTAGATTATATGAAATTGTTTTCCAGTATTTATCGAGAGTGCTATGTTATTGCTGAACACTGTTTCATGATTTTGTCAACCCAACTTTCAAAAAGTATTTACAGTTAAAACACCAACTGTTTGTATATAGCATGCATACACACAAAGCTGACAACAAACAGACTATAAGAGAATACCTGAATATGACAAAGCCCAAATATGACTTACACCCTGAATATGATGTATCTACACCTCAATTATTACAAACACACCTACTACACTCACCCTAAATATGTCATTTACTATAAGTATTCGAAAGGAGAAAAATAATAAAATATAAAGGCCTATAGTTCGTTATGAGATTTTGATTGCCAGATTTATGGATAGGAATTATACGTCCCATTTTGAGTTGTTTTGGAAACACACTACTTTCAACAACGCTATTGAAAATTATATTCAGAGGTCTTATTAGGTTTTCCATATATAACCTTTGTAAAAGTAAGATGGAATTCCGTCAACTCCAGTTGATGTTTTGGGTTTCAGGGATCTAACTGCTTTGCAGATATCTTATTCGGAAATTG